TGAACAATGACTGCATGAAGATTATAATAGTGGTCTGCTAGATTGAAGTTGTTCATCTATTTCGAACCTTCGTAAGCGTTTGGTGCTTCCGTCACAGGTTGAGTCATGTTTGAAGATCGTCAGTGTTATTATTAGATTGACTGGTGCCTCAGCTATATTCTTATGATAGTCAGTTAGTTTGGTGCATGTTTGGCAATACAGTTGATCATCACCCGTTAAAAGTTCCATTTTCATATTATTCAACAGTAAGCTTTAAATAATACTGGAGTTTTTTTCCCAACACCATATCGTTATTTTTAACACCTCGACACGTGTTTCAAAGAGGAAGATTAAAAGGAAAATTAAAATCTGTTTTAATCTTCCTCTTTGAAGATGATCACTTGGTGATCGAAACACGTGTCGAGGTGTTAAATATAACGATTTGGTGTTGGGAAAAAAACTCCAGTAATATTCATTACTACACCAAAGGTTCCAACAGTGCATCATAAGTAAGCTCTGCACGGACTGGTTATTTATCAGTCATATTAGAAAACACTAGTTGAAGTTCTAGAAAATCACGTAAGTTTTTGCTACCTCTTGAACATTTACTACAAAGTAAACAAATGTGGATTTTTCCAGCAAAAGATCTACAAACACAAGACGAGATAGACTGTACGGAATCATTCGATCCAGAACAGTCAGGAGTATTGATTCTGCTTTTTTTGCTCACGAAGAGTATTCAACAAGAACCCCAAGAATTCGGAGGAATCTTCTTGTCCTAACGAGTATCTAGTGGACTTCAAAGACTCCAGGAAATCGGTTGGTGAGAAAGATTGTCGCAACTCAGTACTTGCTTGGCTAGTAACGAGAGGACTTTATTCGCTGTTTCACCCATTCATTCATTCATCTAAATAATGAAAGAACTCATTAAAAACTCAATTAAATATTTATTGTAAAAGAAACGGAAAAAATAAACTCACACTCAAATGTTAATAAAAAAATTACATTAAAACACCAAAAAAACTTACATTAGGTATACTGCCACCCAGCAGAATCGAAAAGAAGGAGATGTGCAGCATGGCTGATCAATAGATACTCAAATGAAAATTTGAATACTGTCTGTTAATGATCTTGACCTCTCTCAATATTTATGAATATTTATACGCTCCTTAATACGTGTTAGGAATCACACGTTAAAAGGTAAGACCTCGTTAGTCCTTAGCTTCCACAAGTTTCCACGTTAACGTTTTTCGTTAACCACAACTGGTTAACGAAAAAACATTAACAAAATCCACTAAATAATAATAAATTTGATATCCACAGCATTAATAGTACCCACATGGTTATGACTTGAAACTGTTTCTTTTAATCTTCCTGTTCTTCTAATGAATCAATCTCATTGATGATTTTTCTTGTTATCGATATATTCTTTTGGAATTTGAATTCTTTAGCGAAAGCGGTAAGTGAATTCGGACGGACCGTAAAATGTGCGACATCTAGGTTTCATAATATGAATAGGAAACTCAGGGAAAACAATCATATAGTCATAAGTAGTCATGCGTTTAAATAAATGAAAGTCAGTTATTTTCATAATGACTGATGGAATTTGAAAAAAAAATGAAATGACCAGTAGTATATATTTCAAAAATACATAATTTCTTAAATGATCCAAAGATGAAAAATAAAATTCGGAATCAGTAAACCGATTATTGAGTTCTTGTTTTTATAATAGAATTTATTACGATACGATCCTTGACGAATGTAGAAGTATAACAAAGTTACTCACAAGTGAAAATAAAGCTGGTAGAAGTAAAAAACTCTCATCCTATCATTTCTCCCATCAACTCAACAACTTTAGTCGCTACCATTTTTTGAACAACTAGCGCCTTCATGGGCCGCTTTACTAACCTACGACACATAGTAATCGAGTAACAATAAAACGCTCCTCAGATTATTGATTTCACATTTCTTTTCAAACTGAAAGCCGGCCATTTTGTTCATAGTGCACTCAAAAAACAAGACGCGATGACGGACAAGTATGATTCAAATGGTGATTATTATGGAGATAATTTCAAAAGAGACAAGAATTCTAAAGGAGACACAGATATGGCCGGGGAAAGTGAAGAAAGCGCTTTAGCAAGCCAAAAAGCGAGTGAATACGTTAGGGAATTACTAGCGGAAAAGCTAGCATTGGATCAAGTAAATTCACCCAATGCTGCTAGGTTGATCGAACAGGGTAAGATGATTTTTTCGAAAGAACTGAAAAAATTTTCGGAGATTATAGCGTTAACACAAAAAACAATCGGGACATTCGAAAACCTCCCTTGAATAATTTAAAGGTTACTAATTCCTTTCTATAGAATCATTTTTAATTTGCTTAAGGCAAGTAATTTATTCAGTGGTGGTGTTGAATGCCTTTTCAACAATGAATTCACTCATTGACCCATTTGAAACATATATGTTTACAATTGGTTGCCTTTAAATATCATTGATTCACTACTAGTCAGGTTAGTACTACCACTACTGGTATTTGGAAATTATCAATGCCAAATGGTTTGATGATGTCCTCAGTCTTAATGGTTGCAGATCAGATAACTCCATTAACTCTTTGAAAGATCATTTTTGATTAATTTTTTGTTCAGTTGTCTAAATAATGCCACTTTTTGGAATCACTTTGTACTATTGACATGTTTAAAGTTCTAATGGTCAGAGCATTCCTCAAGGATAAGTGTTTAGAAGAGATAGTTGTTGGTTATATGTGTAAAGTTCACAAACCTTTTCTATTGGAGATATGCATTCATTGCCGTTTAGGCTTGCAGGAAGTTTGAGTGATGAACTCATTCGATTCTATTACGGCAAAGTTGCCTATTTCAGGTTACTATTAGATATTAGGAAAAAATCTACCTTTTGGAACTATTTAAGGCAAAAATGAAAAAATTCAAATTGTATCTTCTTTTGCAGAGGTTGCAAAGGTTCAGCAAATAGGAAAGGCTCCTCTGAAGGAAAACAAATATGTAGATATCTACAGAGAGAAACCGATAAAGGTGACCGTAAAAGTCCTGGTACCTGTGAGGGAACATCCTAAGGTATAATTTTTTACTGTTTTGAAATGATGAATCAACTGAGAATTTTTTGGATTACAGTTCAACTTTGTTGGAAAACTTTTGGGACCGAAAGGAAATTCGATGAAACGCCTACAAGAAGAGACCATGTGCAAGATGGCTGTTCTTGGAAGAGGCTCCATGAAAGATCGGCAGAAAGAGGACGAACTGAGAAATTCGTTAGACCCAAAATACAGGTAACAGCTGTCTGAAGCCAAACTGAATTGAAAATGTGTGGAAACAAAATAAAATAGCCCGTGTCTTGAAGTTTGGTGGTAGATCTCCCTTCAATAATTTTCCAAGTATTTGAAATGTTTGTATATATTCACATGAACCCTGCAGTTAGAGGCAATAACCCCATCACAGCATGGTTTAACGAGTCAAAAGTCTATATAATACTTTTGTCTAAGTTGGCTTTTGGATAGATCATGCCATTTCCTTGAAAAAGCCGTGCCGATTTTGGAAATCCAATGATCATTTTGTTCTTTAAGTTGCAGATTGCATCAACTCAGTTGATGTCTCAGCTTCTGGGGTCCCTCAAGACTCAAATCTTGGCCTTTTATTTTTCCACTGCCTTGCTTTATGCAAATGATATGAAAATGTATCTACTAGTATCCCTGATTGATGAAGTTCTCAATGAGTGCTTGGCTAGTAATTTACTCAAAAACAAGCACTTTTCCCAAACACTAAAACTGCAGTACTATTCTCGATGCACGTTTCACCAACCACTATGAAGAAAACAGTTTTCTTCATCTCCTGAAGATGCCAGTTTGGTTGGTGAAACACATTTCAAAGAAGAGTATTGCAATTTTGATGTTTGCGAAAATTGCTTGTTTTTGGTTCCAGTTTTACCTTAATATATCTAAATGTAAAACTGTAATGTATATAAGGAAAGAAATCTTTGAACTTCCTTACAATTTTCATGA